CTTTAAACACGAAGGCGCGCTATAAAAGGAGCCTTAGGTCCCACTGGACCATTTGTCAATCAACCGTCGTGTGATGTAGAACTCTTAGAGTCAAGTCAGCTTGAGCTACAGCTACTCCAAAGCAGTGAACAGCGGGCGCATTCCTCAAAATTGTTTTATGTCTTCATCACAATACAAGAATTTTTGAGATTTGTATTTCCTTTCTCCAATGGAAACTGTCTTTATTTGTGGCGGTAAATTTGAGATCGAAGTAGGTGGTTCGCACGTTACCTCATGCCACCATGCTGGTGGAAGTAAACAATAGATATCTCATTAGCTCCTTTTGTTCGTCTACCAGCATTTAAATTTGACCCGCACACGTCAACGGTGAGTGACAAATGAGCCTAGGTCTTCCCAGTGAAGACTTCCTTATATAGCGCGCCTTCGTGTTTAAGATCATGAGAATAAAGGAAATGATCGCCAACTTAAGAAGCTTTGATTGTTAAACGAATTCTCCTTTTCAGTAACAAAGGAAATACATAGAGAACAGTATGGAGAATATTAATACTGATGTTAGGGTGTTAAGGGAAAAAAAAAGGAAAAAAGTAAAGTTTGCGCTCTCTCATCCTCTTGACCTGAATGTAGCTCTTGTCCATGTTTTTCTTATTTCAATTTTTATTTCTCTTTCACGATTTTTATGATATATTGTTTTCTTTGCAGCACCACTGTAGAAATTGCGGGTAAGTTTTATACATTTTTCGTATTTTCAGTGGATCTCAAACTTTCACAGTTTCGATACTGGCTGCTTACTTTGCTTAGATTAAACCCTTAAAAAAAAACAAAAAAAACAAAGAAAACAAAAACTAACAAACCTGTAATTCTTACTTTCTCTCCTTCAAAGTTTGATTTATTGTGGTGATTGTACAACGAAAAGTGCTCCACTGACGTCTAGTAAGAAGCCTGTAAGAGTGTGTGACAAGTGCTTCGATGAAGTCACGTCAGGCACAGCTAAAGTGAGTTTGTTGATTGCGTGACATTCGAAAAATAACACAACACAGAAAGGCAATTGAGGGAATGCTGTTGATTCACAAATCAGGAAAAAAACAGGGAAAATAAAATTCTTGAAGATCGAGGGAAAGTCAGAGAATTTCACTCTGATGCAGGGAGAAGTTAGATCTTTGAAAAAAGTCAGGGAAAAGTGAAATTTCAAGTAATATCGTTCATCTTGTCTTGGCCCTCTTTAGAACGTTTCTTTTTTGTGATGTTGATGTTGCTCATGTACATTGTTTAGAAAAGTTGATTATCAAGATGTATCTGTGCGACTGTTTAGTTGGTGAGGGAAAGTTTACCAATAGAAAAAAGAAAAGTCAGGGAAAAGTCGGGGAAATTTAAAATCCTAAGACTCTAGCAACCCTTTAACATTTTAGGAAACGGATTTTTAAGGTTCTGGTTTATTCCTAGCTAGATAAGAATCCCCTGTTTGGGAAATGACTCCTATCTCTTCGCCTGAACGTGGACTGGAGACGAGGAACAGCAAAGAAAACCAGTTACACATTAAACTGAGTTTTTAAACGAAGTAAGATCATGTCTTAATTTGAATTTTTGCGCTTTTCAGTCGTATTCTCTGGGCACAAACCAAGGCTTCAGCTGAGAAGACTACGCAAGAGTAGATATAAATGTTTTCGCCAGCGAAGAGCGTCACAGTATGTTTTTTGGATCTCGATATGTTGTGCATCTCGTTGTATTTTACTTAGGGATCATAAATGATTTACATAGAGGTCGTTAGGTTTTTACTATTGGGAACTTTACTTAACCCTTAAGAGTGACCAACGTCTAATATCTCCTTACAATATCACCCTGAATCACACATGAATGTCGTGAGAATTATGGAAACAATCACCAATTCAAGAAGCTCTTGATTGTTAAACAAATTCTCCTTGTAAGCAGCTTAGGAAATGTCTAGAGAGCAGTATGGAGAATATGCTTACTGATGTCAGGGCATAAAGGGTTCAAAGAAGGAATGATGAGTGTTAAATTAAACGTTTTGTATCGTATAAGAATTGGTAAATGTATTTTCTCTGGTAGGACAAATGCGAAAGGTAGAGAAGTTTTTTAAAACGACTAAAATTGATTAGTCATCATTAGCTTCTGTAAATATTAAGCAAAAAATGGATATTTAGGTTTTCTTTAGTGGTTGTAATTATCATAAGTTAAAACTAAGAGGTAAGGAACTTACTGAGCCCAAGTGGTAAGATTTTAACCACGGATAACTAAAAAATGTCAGCAGTATTTTTTATAGAATATTTCCTAACGTATTGTTAAGGTGGTTTTTTATTGATGTTCTATGTCACTTGTAAAGAACTCGGAATTTACCGCCCAAGGGATGTAAAAGTGGAGAATTGTGATTTTGGAACACGACAACAAGTTAGTTAAAGCGTGATAGGATACTTTTCAATTCAGTATTGTAAAACCAAAACCAATGTTATAACAGCCAATTAGGGAAAGGACAGTGCTTTAAAAGCCAACGAGAATTCAAAGTTAAAACAACCAAACCGCGCGGGAAAACGCGGGCGACCAAGTCATGATTGGTTTTAAGTTCTGCATCTGATTGGCCGAGAGAGTGGCACTAGATTTCTGAGCCAATCATAATCGCCTAAGCGCGGGAAAACGCGGGCGACCAAGTCGTGATTAATTTTAAGTTTTGCATCTCATTGGCCGAGAGAGTGTGGCGCTAGGTTTTTGGGCCAATCACAGATTACTTTCGACACACAGTGATGAAAATTGCTTTTTTACAATGCGGTATGAGCTCGAGGATGTCTAATGTTGTCCATTTAGAACGACTTTGTAGAGGAAGCTTTTGATAAATTATCGTACATGCCTCCTTTTATCCTACACAATCGATACCGATGCACTAACATGATAAGTGTATATTTTATTTTTGGGATTTATTAGCTTGCAGTGTGGACATAAGGGCGGCATTGATACTTTCCCCACCCTCCATCCCCTGATTCCCTATCGCCAACTGTCGTTATAAATGGTTTTCTATCCTCAAATCTTCAAAATGAAATTTAAACTAGAGATAATTTTCTAAAATCATACCCGCCTGAGCTAATAAAGGACCTTTTTGGACATTGTGTCGATGGAGTCATGTTTGAAATCAGTTGTTTGGCTTACTATAGTAAATAGAGTGAAGAAACTTGTCAAGATTTCTCTTTTCTCCTGTTGAAGAAACATGATAACAGAGTAGAACAAATCCGCGAGAGCGACCGCTGCGAGGACGAAGCCAAACAGAAAGATCTGTTAATGAGCAGAACAATAGCTCTGCACGTGCATGTTAAGACTACATTTCCAAGCCGTGTTATGCAAAACAACAACGTGAAATTACCAATCCAATTTTTGAAAACTGAAGTCCAACTACTTTGAACTCAACGTTATGCCAAAGGGGAAATCTGGCCATTTTGCGGTATAGATAAGCATGTATTCGAGCTACACAAAAAACTCTTTGGACAAGAAAAACTTCATTTTAAATCGACGTTTTCCTGGACGTCGAACTTAAACTCCCCAAATCAATAAGTAAAATACTTCGGAATGATACAAATCGCTTACTAATTAACAAATGGTAAACACCACAGCGTAAACTATTGAGTTATGGATGCACGCGGGAGGTTGCTAAGCACGAAAGAAGCGCAAGAGTCGCGCGAGGCGATAGCCGAGAGCGAGTCGAGCTTCTTGAGTGCCCAGCAAGCCTCCCAAGTGCATCCATAACTCAATAGTGTACACTGTGGTGTTTACCATTTGTTTTATAACATAACATTGATAGATTGTAGCAAAAGAGTTCCTTTGATTTAACAAATCTTACGTGACCAGAATAAACAAGCGCGCGCGGAAAAATAGTCTTTGCATTTGCTCACGTCAGCAGCATACACCCATGGGCAAATGGTGGACGCTGAATTGACCAATCAGAGCGCGCGCTTTACTTTGGTTATGTTATAAACACTTTTCCTCTCAAGAAGGCTTCATACCTTCTGCAACTCTCGCATATCTTTTCCGCTCTTTAAATTTT